GGTCACCCGGCATGGGGTACGGCTGAATCCTAAGGCAATTGGTCTCTTTCGAGTTTCCTTCTGGGCTTGGTCGCCCCAGGGACCTCAGGTTGCCCTCAAGAAAGTGGGATGTTCTTCATAAGGGGCTACGTACTCCTCTGACTTGCTGAAGCCAACCCAGAATTTCAGTTCCGGAGCCACTTGCTCCTAGAGGCCGCTGGCTGGGTGCACAGACCCCTGAGGGGTCTTTCTGACCCAAGAACTGGCTGTCACAGCAGTCAGTTTGGTGAAGCAGTCAGCTGAGCCAAATAATATGATCCAGCAATGGCAACAGATTCACCACAGACCCACCCAGCTGAGTGGGACTTTGGCAGTGAGGTTTCATCAAGGATTCCATCCATGTGGGGGGTCTGCCATCCAAACCCTGGCAATGACTTCAGTGCCCACCTCTTTCCCACAGCACTGGGCCAGGGTTGCTGGGTCGCTGGCACCATTTCTCAGATGCAGAAACTCAGGATCTGTGTGTTGCTGAGCAAGGGTCCCACAGTGAGGGCAGAGCTCAGAGCTTCCCCTTATTAGGGTTGTTGCATGCTCCCCATATTCCCAACCCCTGCACCTCAGGGACGAATGTTTCCCAACCCTCTCTCTCTCCACGAGGAGTTCCACGGGCTCCACCAGATTTCTGAACAGCTCTTCCTGCCTTCCTGCTTTCATAATATGAAGGAGAAGGAGGCCAGGGCAGGAAACTGTCAGGACTAATTTGCCAAGCACTTGTGAACTCTGTTGTGACTCACCCCATCTCACCGTGATTCCTTCTGCATTTCCCTTCCTCCCCCTTCCCACAGGCTGGCCAGCTCTGGGCCATCCTGGGCCCTCAGGAGCCCCTCTGTGGTCCTGGGCAGTGATCCTGGAAGCAGGAGCTTAGGGGCATCCAGCCCTTGCATGAAAAGGCCTTTGGCCAGCAGGAAGCAGGACCGGATGGTATCACCTCTTTTGCTCAGCAAGCTCAGAGCCAAGAGGCCCCTCCCAGCCAAGTTCATGGATCGGGCAGGGAAAGGCTTCTCTCCAGGGCTGGTGCAGAACGTGGCCACCTGCTCTTCCAAATAGGCCCAGAAGGGACAGGCACCTGCCTTGTTCACACAGCCTGATTCCCGAAGCAAGTCGAGGTGGTGCTGGCACTGAAATCCAGGCCCCTGACCCCCGGAGTCAGTTTCCCTTCACCCTATCCAGGGCCTGGGTGGAGCCTGTGGTTGGTCTCTGCCAGGGTACAGCATGGTGGTCTGGCTCCAGCTCAGGGTGAAGAGTTCCATCATCGGTCTCAGGGAGGTCAGAGAGGCTGGCCACAGTCAGCCAGTCCAGGGAGGCCCAGGGAGGGGAGCACTGGGATGGGCAGAACCACTAGAAAGAGAATTCTCATCCTGGCACCACCACTTCTCAGCCTTGGGGACCCATGTGTGCCTTAGGTTCTTCACCTGGAAAATGGCGTAAGGATTGACTGTGAAGACACATGTTTTAGAAAATAGTCTGACCTTCTGTGTTTTATAAATATTACCTACGCTGCTTCTTATCATTATCACATTCCCTCCCACAAGGCAGAGGATCAATCATATCAGGGTTTGGAGGCCTAAGGCCAGCTCCGGAGACAGTTAAGCTGTCCTGTGCCTAGGGACTGGTGGGCTCACTGCCTGAGCCCAGCGCTGCCGGCCCTGGCAGCTGATCAGATGTGTTGGGCCCCACACGGGGGCCGACTTGGCTGGACAGATGGGGCAGCCGTGCTGCACTGGACACATGAGAGGCCTACGAGGGGCAGGTGCAGACTCAGCTTGGCACAGGTGCTAGAGAATTTTTGTGCTGGGCCATGTCCGGACATGTGTTGTGGCCAGAGTAGAACGAAGATCTGATTTTTCAATTCTCCTTCATCAGAGTTACCTCCATTGGTTTTTGTTGTTGTCGTTGTTGTTGTTGTCTCTGCTTTTTAAGTCCCTGATTATTTCCAATGCCCTGAGAAGGCTGGGCTGGGGGAGGTAATGGTGGCACTCACACCACAGGGCAGTAGTAGCTCTTTGTGGGCCAGGCTGATGCAGAAACCCTCTCCAATAGGTAATGGTGGCACTCACACCACAGGGCAGTAGCCCTTTGTGGGCCAGGCTGATGCAGAAACCCTCTCCATGAGCTGACTAGGGGGTGTCGTGTGCTCTGAACTTTTATATGAGAGGACTGAGCCTTCTGGAAGATGGTGTCCCACTTAAAGTCACACAGCTTGAGGGATCAGACCACATTGTAGCCCTGAATTTCCCCAGCTAGTATGGGTGGCCCTGCCTTGGGAGCTCTCCTGACCTTGCATGGCCCAAGGCCAAGTCTTCGCAGCTGGTTCCAGGCCTACCCTTACTGTGTGTCCTTGGCCAAGAACCCCTTCCTGGGCCTTGGTCCTTTGGCTACAGAGAGCCGGCTGCCCCAGAGCTGGTGGAGATCTTCGTGGCTTGGATTGTCTCTGGATCCCACAACCCCACCCACTCCGAATGGCCCAGACAGGTGTCTGGCAGGGAGATCCCCATCCTGTCCTTTGTCACCTTCCAAACTGTTGTCCAGACTTGGAACACTATTTAAAGACCCATCTCTTAGCTGCCCCAGGCCTGCTACAGCACAAGGAAGCACTCCACACCATGGTAGGCTGGGGCTACCCTGCCTCCTGACCCTGACCCCATCCTGTGACCTTGACTTCATTTGTAATTCCGACCTTCACTGCATTGCTTGAACTCACCTTGACCTTGACCTTGCTCCCCTTGCTGACATCCTCACCCTTGACCTGATATCCCTGGTCCTGACCTTTTTTTCACCCTTGGTGTCATGCCTGTACCTGACTCATTTTGGGTGGCCCTTAAAGGGTGGCTGGTTCATCCATGTGGGTCCTGATTTGGGTTGATTTTCTTGCACTGGGTAGGGCTGCTGAGGAGAAGGGGGTGATGAGGAAGAGGAGGATGGAGGGAACCAGGGTGGGCCAGGCTTGGACTTTTCATGGCAGAGTGGAGTTCTGCTCATGATAAGAGGACATGGCTCCTGTAAAGGCCAGGTTGGGATTCCAGAACAGCCTGGGTCCTAAGGAGCCTGGCATGGGGCCCTTGCTTCAGGCTGTGTGGAGCCTGTCCTGCTGCCTTCCCCTTGCCCCTGTCCTCCAGTCCCTGTGGGCTCTCAAGGACGCTATTCTTTCAGGCCAGTCTCACATCCTCATCAGTCTCTCTTGGCCTGAGAACTCTGACTCGGCTGTCAAACTCTAGCTCAGAAACAACATCCCCTGGGAGGTGTGCCTTGAGTGCCCCAGTGCTAGAGGGCCTTCTCTGTGTTCTCAGCACCTGTCTTTTCTTCCATGTGAGCTCCTTGGGGACAAGGAGGGCCTAATTCAGCTCTGGGTCCCCAAGTCTGGGCACGAAGCCTGGCTGGGGGTCAGCAAGTACTTAATAAGTGTCCTGATGCCTTGAGATAGGTACAAAAGGGGGAAACTGAGGCTCGCAACCTGCAACTGATTTTCTTAACATCACAGGGGCTGTGAGCAGCAAAGTCAGGATTAGAACTCAGGTCTGGGCAACCTCCTTCTGCCCTGAGGCGATCGTTTCCGGGACTCTTTTTTAGAGAGACATTAGAAAAGGGAATTTCCAAGATGATTGGGTTGCAAAGGGTCCTGGCTAGGAGATCAGATGGCCGGTCAGGGCCCTAGGCCTCAGTTTCCCCCTGTGCAGTCCTCCCTTTTGAGGTTCCGGAACAGGGCCTGGCAGACAGTACACCGTAAGGCGCTGTTTCACAAGATGGTTGTGGAAGACTAGCGTGAGGCAGGAATGGGTGACGCCGAGGCCAAGGGCAAGGGCGAGGGCAGGTCTGAGGAAAGAAAAGGCAGAATACCCCACAGATGGAAGTGATCGTGTTTATTAATCAGAGAGAAATGTATATGTAATTATGTGAGATAAACTCTGCAGGGAGGTTCTTTTCTTTATGATGTCTAAAGGGATTTATAAATATTACAGAGGTTTTACTGCATCATAATGTCCTGGCTGCCCTGCCAGCCCCCTTTCAAAGGATTAGTGGAGACAAAGCACCCAGTAAAAGCTAATTATAAGTCAGCCGGGTGCTGCTGTTCCTGAAGTGAGCCCAGGCGCCAGAGGGAAATGGGGCGAGTGCAGGGGTGGGGGAAGTTGGGTGGTGGGACAAGAGTGAGCTGGGGGGAGGGGAGACCACACAGGCACTGGGTGGGGGGTGCACAGGAAGCCCATGTTCTGGGAATGGGTAGACAGGGTTTGGAAGGAGGGTGACGTAGGCTGAGGTGGAGGCAGAAGCTGAGAGACGATAGGAGCAGGAAGCCTGGGTCTGTTCTACCTCTCTGAGCCAGTTCAGGGACTCCTCGCATATGGGGGCCTAGTGATGGCTGCTGAGGAAAAGATCCCCTGAGAGGTTTCAGCGAATGCCCCGTAGTGGCCTCCCAGTTACCATGACATCCCGAAAGAAACATATGGGAGCAGGAAGCCTGACCAGAGACCCTGGAATTATTCCATGTGGATGGTGATCACCTGCTCCACCTGTTTGGGGATTCATCTTGAGCTTTGGGCAGCTATTTCCAAACTGATCTTCACTCTGAGCCAGGCCCTGGGTGGGGTAGGGGACCTCAGACATAGACAGACACAGAGATATGTCAGGACAGTGTGGGATGCGTGCTACAGGGTGTGGCTGCCCTGGACTGGTGGGCAGGGAAGAATCAGGGAGCTCTAAATCGGCCTGGGGGTCAAGGAAGTCTTTTCAGAAGAGGTGGCAGAGTAGTTGAGCCTAGGGGATGAGGATTCTACCAGATGGAAGGCAGGGAAGGCATTCTAGATGGTGGAAATGGCAGGAGCAAATGTTGGGAGAAAAGGAAGCTCAAAGCATGTTTAGGGCAGAGTGGGGGACCGAGGTGGGCGGAGGTAGAAGCTCTGGGAGAAGGAAAAAGGATAGACCTTGCAGGGTTGAGATCAGGTATTATCCTAAGAACACTGAGGAAGATGGCAGGAGCGGAGGTGGGTCTCATTTGGAGTCTGATGCTAGAAAAGATGCCCCTCTCTGCTTCACAGCCTGGGCGTAGACAACCTGCCTTCCGGAGCGCGGGGGCCCAGGTCAGGAAGCAGCTGTCTGGCCCCGTGGGGTGGGCGCTCTGCAGGCTTCTTGCCATGGGCTGGGAAACCACCCTGCTTATCTGCAAGGCTTCATTAGGAGCTCTGTCTGTCTGTCTGCTGTGGGCTGGAGTGTGGTGGGCATGTCATTCAGGATGGGGACACTGTGGGAGATGAGGCATGAGGGTTGGGAGCATGGTAAATAGCTGACCTCCCAAGAAAGGGACTTCTGCAAGGCCTCACCTGGTACCTCACAGGCACCAAGAAGAGCCCGGAAAAGAACAGAAGGTGGAGCCATCTCCAACGTCTTCTCCATGTTTGATCAGTCTCAGATCCAGGAGTTTAAAGAGGTTGGTCAGTGCCCCCTGGGGGCATTGGAAGGATTCATGTAATGTGCATGGAAGGTGTGGTGTCAACCTTTAGTCCCTGGGGGGCAATGATGCCACAATTCTTAGTGACCACCATGCTGTGCTTCAAAATCTGCAGATGTGACTGTTGTGCTTGAGCAGTCCCAACCCCTCTCTGTGGGCTGGAGTGTGGTGGGCCTTTGCTTGCTGAGTGACCTTGGGCAAGTTCTTTCCTGCAGATGTGACTGCTGTGCTTGAGCAGTCCCAACCCCTCTCTACCTGAGCCTTTGCTTGCTGAGTGACCTTGGGCAAGTTCTTTCTCTCTCTGAGCCTCAGTTTTCCTCTCCGTAAAAGGGGGTTGCTGTGAGCATGAAATGAAGGGTGGACCCGGAGCCCTGCCAGCATGCTGGTGCACAGTTGGAGCTTAGTGCAAGTTTTGGCCATCACTCTCATGCTGGTGTCATGCTGAGCTATGTAACCAGATGACCAGAGGGGCTTGCACTGAGGCAGCCTGGCAGCAGTTTGCAGGAGGACAATCCCTTGGGTAGGGGGGTTGTTTCTGGGGAAGCTGGGCTTTGGCGGATAGGTAGATGCCTGCTCAGTGCCTGTGTCTCTGCCAGGCCTTCACCATCATGGACCAGAACCGGGATGGCTTCATCGACAAGGAGGATCTGAGGGACACTTTTGCTGCCCTGGGTGGGTAACCAGCAGCCAGAGAGAGTCTTGGGACTTGGGGTGGAGCCGAGCCCAGACCATCCAGAAAGAGAGAGCGACTGGGGGCAGCCAGGGCAGTAGGCACAGTGGGTGTGAGGGGCTCACGTGCTATTTGAGGGTGCAGGGAGTGGGCAGCCACTGCCTGGAAGGTCTGAAAGTGTTTCTGGGTATGAGAAGAGACTTCCCCAGGGAAGCGGGGAGGGCCTTTCAGGTGCAGAAATGGCCTGTGCAAAGGTCTGGGGTGGGAGGCCAGGGTAGGGTGAGGGGTCAAGAGATGCTGCAGGTGTGGAAGAAGCTGGAGATGCGTGCCGCTCTCAGGGATACTGGGCTTTGGCTGCCAGGGAAGGCTTTTGCGCTCTCTGAGGCCCAAGGAGTGAGCCTGAAGAGGGACTGGGTGATGGTAAGGGCTGAGGTTGGAGGAATGGGGTAAACTAAGTCATGTCTGAACTGAGCTTTGAACTTCTAGAGATCTGGTTGTCTCCTGGGACCATAAGGAATCCCAGAGTCCCCACTGCCAGGCAGACAGTTGCCCCTCCTGGGGCACATGAGCCTGAGACCCAGGTCTTCTTGCCTCTATGTACCTCAGCTTCAGCTTCTTTGGGCCTCAGTTTCCTCAGCTGTAAAATGAAGATGACAGACAACTTGCTCTCCTTTCCAGGGAAGCTGAGGTGGTGGCAGTGAGGCCAGGGGCAGCCCAGTGCTGACTAAGGCTGAACGTACCCACCTCCTGAGGTCCCCCAGCGTGTGGGTGGGGCCTTAGGGCTGAGGTGAGGGTGGGTGAATGGTAGAGCTGGGAGACTCTGCAGGATGCGCCATAGTTCTGCACCCTGTTCTTCCAGGGTGCCTGAGAGCAGGGTTCCTTCTGACATTCGTTGTGCTCCTGGGTGTCCCCACTTCTCGCCTCCTTCAGGCCGCATCAATGTGAAGAATGAGGAGCTGGAGGCCATGGTGAAAGAGGCCCCCGGGCCCATCAACTTCACCGTCTTCCTGACCATGTTTGGGGAGAAGCTGAAGGGTGAGTGAGACTCCAGGTGGCCCTGAGGAGGGAGGGGTGAGTGGGTGTGGGCAGGTGGGCCCTGTGTACGGATGTGCCCCGCACTGATGCACACCCCAACTGGGAGCATGGTGTCCCTCCTGGGACCACACACCTTCCCAGTCCTGCCTCAGTTTCCACCACCTCTACACCACAGAGTAGGGGTAACTGTAGTAACCCTGTCTTGTAGGGCTGTGAGGAGCCCAGCAAGGCAATTTCCCCACCATCAGGACACTGCTCCAGCCCCACCTCCCTACCCTTGGGTTCAACTTGCCTGCTCTACATCACCACTCACTGTGACAGCAGGAGCGGGTACAGGGGTGAGGGGAGGGCATTCTGGAAGTTCTTGTGGCAGACCCCAGTGCAGCCCCCAGGGAAAGAATGGAGGGGCCTCATTCACAAATAAGGAAACTCGGGCTCAGAGGGATCACCACACCTGCCCCAGGTGTTCCGGCATCAAAGTCGTGGAGATAGAACCTAACCCCGACTCCTGGCTCTAACCATTGCAAGTCCTGAGACACGGCATCAGGCCTGGGGCTTGGGATGGGGCTCGGGGTGGGGCTCAGGCCAGAGCATTTTCGTCCTTTTCTCTCTGGGCTGTGGGGAGCTGCCCCCTGTCCCTTAGTGACATCCCTTGGGCTCAAGGGTTCCATGGTCAGAGGGAAGGCTCAGCTTGAGGTGCGGCTGACATGGGAAGTGGGCCTTGTAGCCCCCCATTCCCAGGGTTCCCCTGTCTGATGCTCTCCCTGCATTAGCTAGACCTGGGTTCAACACCTAGCCTCCCACTGACCCCCAGGGTGGCCTTAGGCAAGGTTTGTCTGCTCTGTGAATCTCAGTTTTTTGTCTATAAAATGGCATTATGTTAGTTTCCCAAGGCTATTGTAACAAATGTCCACAAACTTGACGGCTCAAAAAATTGGCCATGTATTCATTCTCTCAGCTCTGGAGCCCAGAGTCAGAAATCTGTCGGGTCCTGATCCCACAGAGGCTCCAGAGGACAACCCATTCTTTGCCTCTTCCAGCTTCTGGTGGCTGCATTGCTCTCATCTCTGCCTTCGTGGTCCACTGCCCAACCCCCAACCCCCACCGTCTTCTGTCTGTCTCCTTCTGCTTCACTCTTGAAAGGATGCTTGTCATAAGATTTAGGATCCACCTGGAAATTCAGGATCATTTCCCCATCTCAAGATCCTTTCTTTACATCTGCAAAGGCCTTTTTATTTCCAAGTAAGGTGACATTTCCCTGTTTTGGGGATGAGGACATTGATATATCTTTTGGGAGCCATGATTCAATCCACTATGGGGGTGATCCTACCTAACAACACAGATCTTATTTGGTAAAAAATCAAATATTCTCTTGGGTTTTGACCTGCTAGCAATTACAATAGCCCCATACACAACGCCCTGTCTGATCCTAGATTAGAAGGAGGCCAACAATTGACCTATGACTGAACAGCCCCGCCCTCCTGTCTTAGAGACTAGGAAACTGAGGGCAGGAGAGGGCGCAGGCTGTGGGCTAACTCAGGAGTGCCATTGGGCCTACCTCCAGGCAGCCATTAGGGGTTATTTACGGGAAGAGCTCAGAAGCCCAGGGGCCTGGGGTGGGAGTATGCTCCCAGGGAAAGGCACATGTGACTCCAACCAGTGACCCAGTGACTTTCAAGGGAGACCCAAAGCTCATGTAGGTCTGTGGCTGAGCTAAGAGCTATGACCCAGGGCCAGGTGGGGGCCTAGGGCTGCAGCTTTTTCTCATTTTTTGCAGCGGCACTGGGACTGGGGCTCCAGCTGAACATGTCACGCAAACTTGGCTGAGCTGGCATGCTCAACCAGCTGTTGGCATAAGAGCCAGGGCTGGGGCAGCACTGTCTTATCTCTCTAATTGGGACGAGGACACATATCATGAGATTCCCCATAGCATATCTCTTATCTCTCAGCATATGTCTTATCTCTTTAATTGGGACGAGGACACATATCATGAGATTCCCCACAGTGGAAGGATGGATGCAGCCCCTCTGCACCCATTTGATGAGGTTCACAATACACAGAGCAGATTGGCTGTGGGGCCAGCACTGTGCCAGGCTTGATCACTCTGGGCCAGCTTCATCACTAGGGCCAGATGACCTAGACAGCATCTTGTCTTGCATGAATTCTCAGTCTGATGAGGGAGACGCCACTAACTCTGACCCAGTCTGAGGGGGAAGACATAGAGTGGCAGAACAAGCAGGGGCTCTGGAGCTCCAGAGAGTTGGCTTCAAACCCCTTCTCCCCCTTATCAGTGGGGACCTCAGGCAAACAATAGAGCCTCTCAGGCCCTCAATTTTCTCTTTGACAAACTGGGAACATCAATAACTACCATGTGCGGTGTTCTGGGGGTTTCATGGGATAAAATGGTGAAACTGCAGGATGGAACTTGGCACAGAGGACTCAGATGTGTTTGAATAATGTTTGTCCAGATCTTTACCATTAACAATATGTTATCTTAACTGATCCTGGGAGGTGGGCAGCAAATAGCACCTTTGTCTCCATTTCACCGATGACATAGCTGAGCCTTAAAGAAGGAAGGGGACAACTCCTGGTCCACAATGAGTGGTGGGGGGCAGTGTGACAGAGGGGAAGGAGTACTATGTACGGGTCACCAGGTCATCTGCTGTTGTTCACACAGTCTGAGAGGCCTTGGATGAGACCCTTTTTTTCTCGATTTCCCCATCTGTACAACCAGGGGGTTGGAGATTCAATTTCATTGTGGAAACAGAGCTATTTCTTCTAACGACATCTTTTCATAACCTGTGCTATAGAAGTGATCAAACCAGAATTACTTCTCCCCACTGCCCCCCTCCGCTGCCCCCACCCCACAGCCTGTTGGCCCATCTGCCCCACCTCTGGCTGGGACAATCCTGCAGACCCCTCCAATGCCACTGCCTGAAGCCCAGCCTTTGGCCTCCCAGTGCAGCGCTCTTTCTCTTCTACCTTTCATGCACACCTTGGATAACGAGAAAGCCCCAGAGTTGCCAGGCCCAACTCACTAATCATGTGGCAGCATCAGCCGTGAGAACTCAGACAAGTCACTTAACCTCTCAGAGCCTCAGTTTCTTCATAAAATCAGGCCAATCATCAGGAGAGTTAGGCACATAATAAGTGCTTAGTCGGAGTCACATTGTGCATAACTACATACAGTACCCTTGACTATTACTATGATTTCTTGTTTCCCGGAAACCTCCCTTCTCTTGCTTCAAGTGGATTTGGCCTTGACAGTGGAGTAGAAGTTGGGGAGGAAGCTCCTCAAGTCATTGCCTTCTGTGAGGGCCATGGGACCCTCCGCCCCCAGCCCCTGCCCAGCCCCTGCTGGTTCTCTTCACCCTGGCGCTCTCCCTGCCCCTGTGTGCTGCTTCTAGGCACGGATCCAGAGGAGACCATTCTCCATGCCTTCAGGGTGTTCGACACTGAAGGGAAAGGTTTCATCAAGGCTGATTTGTAAGTTCCCTCTGCTTTCTTTTGGTTTTTCTTTCCGCAAAGGCTCAGGTGATGAAGGAGCTGGGGTGGGGTCCTTGTGGGTGGCATCTCCTCTACGCCCAGAACTTAGCCAGCTCAAGCTGTGTCCATCCAGAAGCCAGGAGGCTACTGCCCTGCCCAACTCAGCCATCTCTTGATGTCCCTTCCCCTCTCTGGGTCTCAGTGTCCCCATTTCTGTGTGGAAGATCACCAAGGGATCACCAGGGGAGGGCTTCCCAGTGGTGAGGGGGGTTGGGGTAGAGGCGATCCTTGAAGGATGACTAAGGGTGCCTAGGCTAGATCAGTGAACATTCCAGATGCAGGAACATAGTGAGTGAAGGGCCAGGGCTTGGCATGTGCAGGGTTGGTGAGGAGGAGTGGGCTGTGGCTAGAGAGTGTAAGTGCATGTGGGATGGGGGAGACTGAGTTCAGAGAGGCAGGGAAGGACTGTGTGGGGTAACCACTTACCAGGCCCTGAACCCTTGCTCTGTCCTGGAAGCATAGAAGAGCCTGGAAAGGAATTAAGTAGGAGTAACAAGGAGGCCAGTCTGGAGGAGGATGACAGAGAGTTGCAGCCACCACATAGGCCTTGGCCATTGAGATGGAGGGGAGTAGATGGGTAAGTGAAATACCAGAGGCCAGCACCAGTGGGATCCAGGGTTCTGGAGAGAGAAATGGGCCAGCTGTTATCCAGGGCTTGAAGTGATGTGGGGATGGAGGCTGGGCCATGGGAAGGGACTGGCTCAGCTAGGGATGCATAGAGAGTGAGATGACAGTAGGCAGCTGTCCAGTGGGCCACTGGGCTGTCATGATAGAGATGGGGGCAGTGACTCCTGCTATACCTGGGAGCCTCAGCCCAGTGAGAGCACAGGGCAGATAGCCAAGGGTGGTTAGCAGGGGCAGGTAGGGCAGTGGCCAGCTTCCCAGGGGCTAGGACATTGAGCTACCCTCTGAGCTATTCCTGGGTCATCCCTTCAGAGTCTCCAAGGCTTTGCTGGGCCTGTGGCAGGCAGGATTTCTTCCTCAGGCACAGGTTTCCTGACCAATTACTGCGATGCTTTTGGCCTTGGCTTTGAGGCTAGTTTTGCTGCCTATTAGAGTCATCACTTAATGGAGGTGGAGTGGGAGAGGGCAGCGGGGAAGAGGGAAGAGGGAGAGTCTGTCTTGTCTCTCAAGCATTTTCACCATCCCCCACCCCCCAAAGCTGTGAGTCACATAATCTCCAGAGGTAGTGGAGGGGGTAATTAGGGTTTCTCCAGGCTGCAGCCCTCTCCCTCACCCCTCCCTCAGGGTCTGTGGTTTCCACCCCCATCTTAGAGACCCAAGAGAGGCACTGGGGCACCTCTAGAAGTGGCCTGGACCAACCCCTCTGCTGCCATTCACCTTCACTCCCACTAGCTGGAGGCAAGGGCCAGGAGGAACCCTTTGGGGACTCGATTTGGGAATTAAAGGTGCCACCCCGAGGGTATGGGACCTGGAAGACTTGGCTGCCTGCCAGGCAGGCCACAGAGGAGGCTCCGGACAAAACGGAGTCTGTGAAAGTCCCCAGCTTGGAGAGTTGGAAACTGTGACTGTCCTACAGTAACATAAATAATGGAAAATGTGTGTTGGTCCTCAGTGGGGCCTGCTGCTGCTGGCGCCACAGGAGACAGGGTGCTCAGGGCCCTGGCTCAGGCCTCTGATCCCATCCCTGCCCGCTACTCCCCCTGAGAACCCTCTGCTCATGCTCCGCCCCCTTTCCTGCTCCCAGGGCAACAGTCTCCCAGCAGCCTCAAATGCAGTTGCCCTGCCCCACCTCCTGCCACTCCTCCAGGCCCAGGAAGCTCTGGCCCCAGTGGGCAGCTGCTCTGGACCACCCAGGGGGAGAGGCCCCACCCTGCCACTGCAAACCACAGGTTCCTTCTTCTTTACAAAGAAGGAACCTCAGTTTCCTTCTTCGTAAAGGGGGATGATGGCCCTCACTTCTGAGGGCCATGAAGAGCAAATGAGACCTGGGCAGGCTCAGGAGGACATATACCTGGATAACAGGCCTTCCTGTCCCTGGGCTGAGTGTCAGCACTTTGTACGCTATAGAGCACTTTACAGACATCAGCAACCATCACAAGCTGGGAAAGCAATGCATCTAGAACCAAAGCAGAGAGGATGCCCTCAGTAACTGTGAGATTGATTATCAGTGCACGATGGAACATCAGAGTGGCCCCCGAAGTTACGTTGGGGTCCCAAGATCATTTCATTTGGTTCTTGCCTAATGCAGAGAGGAAAGTCCATATTACAAAGGAAGAAACTGAGGCTCAGAGCTGAAGTGGCTGTTAAGGCCACATGGCTATTTGTGGGCTCTAGAGCCAGCCTCATCCCCATCCCTGCTCCCATTAGTGTCTTCCTGGGCCAGGACTCCTCCCCTCAGCCCACCTGCCCTCATCAACCCTGGAATCTGCGTGTCCTCACACAAGGTGGTCCTTCCCGTGAACATGATCTTTTGTCTCCCTTGAGCAGCATCAAAGAGAAGCTCATGACCCAGGCAGACAGATTCAGTGAGGAGGAGGTAAGTGCTGGCTTTTTAGGGTGCCATTCAGTGCTGCTAAGAGTCATCTTTTGAGGCATAGTCCAGCCTTTCTCAGCAGTCACCCCCACCCCATCCTACCCAGATCTTTTTTCTTTAGATGCTGAGATGATGTCTCCCTTGACTCCTTGGATGATAACAAGAAGGATGGGGTGGGGGTGGCTATGGGACCTTGGCGTGCTGGCCTGGCCTCTGTGCCCTCTTCTGCGATGCCTCTATGTGGACTCTGACACCCTTGGGTGACTCCCTGCTTTGGCCCCCATTCAGCCCTGATCCAGGCTGACTCCCTGCCCCTTCTCCAGATCAAGCAGATGTTTGCGGCTTTCCCGCCAGATGTATGTGGCAACCTGGACTACAGAAACCTGTGCTACATCATCACGCATGGTGAAGAGAAGGACTAGAAGGAGATCATGAACCTCCCCTACAGCCAGAGGCAGCAAACACTGAGTGTGGGGGCCGCCGATAGGGAGCTCCTACAGCCAACGTGTGTGACAAAAAGGCTCCCCTCACCCTGGGGCCCTGTGGCTTAAGGACGAAGCAAAAATAAATAATGCTAATAAAGTCTGAGTTTCCTTGATTAATGCTCTGGCTGGGGGGAAAGCTAAACATTACTATGTTGTTGGTTTTTCCAAAACTTTTTACTTCCCTGGCTTAGCTCAAATGTTCCTGATGAGCTAGTGTTTAGAACTAATTGACAGTTTTAATGATCCCCAGCTGGGCCACAGGACACTGCCATCACTTATGAAGTTTTTATTAAGCACCTAGTGCATGCCAGATCCAGTGCCAGTTCTGAGGCACAGCGATGAACCAGTCTTGTCCCTTGGTGGGAAGATCATGCAGTGAAGAGGACAAGAATTGGGATGGGAACATGGTAGGGAAGCAAATGGATCCGTTTAGGATAGGCCTGGAAGCTAGAATCTGGGCAGAGGCAAAGGAAGTGGAGAGAAGGGGGTGGATTCAAGGGCTGTTTAAGGAGTAAGCAAAGAATTCTTACACAGGACGCACTTGGCACCAACCATAAAATGAAAGTGCATAAACTGGACTTCATCGAAATTAAAAACTTCTGCTCAGCAAAAGACAGCATAAAGAACCCAAAAAGGCAAGGCATAGGGCTAGAGAAGATATTGGCAACAATAGATCTTGACAAAAGTCTCATATCCCTGATATAGTTTTAAAAAATTCTACACATCGATAATGAAAAGATAACCCAAACAAACAAACAAACCAGGAAGAGGACAAAAAAGGATATTCAAATGGCAAATAAAGACCCGAAAAGATGTTCAACTTTGTGTCTCATAAGGAAAAGAAAAAACGAAAACTTTTATAAGCTATATGCTTACCATGGCTAAAATTAAAAAGATTGACAATATCAAGTGTTGTTGAAGACGTGGAACAACAGAACTCTTTCATTTTGGTAACAGGAGTGTAAAGAGGACCAATCACTTTGGAAGTATCAACTAAAGTTAAAATATATACATATCTTGAGCCAGCAGTCAGTCCTACCCCTAGGTGTATACCACCAGAAATGTCCATCATGTATTCTTCAAAAGCTATGTGTAAAATTTACAGACTTAACAGGAGTCTCGAATTGGAAATAAGACAAATGTCCATCAAGAGGAGAATTGATAAATAAATTATAATATGTTCGTGCATTGGAATACACAGCAATAAGAATAAACTACTGATACACAGGATAACACAGTCACACTCTCATATATTACATAACATGGAAGAAGACACACACAAAAGAGAGCTTGCTTCATTTATTTAAAAAATTTTTATAAGAGCTTACTTAAAAAATTTTTTTAATGAGGTATAATTCACATACCATAAAATTCTCCATTTTAAAGTATATAATTCCTTGGCATAAAGTGAAGTAAGTACATTTACAGAGTTGTGCAACGTCCAGAAATGTCCATCATGTATTCTTCAAAAGACATGTGTAAAATTTATAGACTTACAGGAGTCTCGAATTGGAAATAAGACAAATGTCCATCAAATGTCCATCTACCTATATCTAGAACATTTTCATTAGCCCAAGAAGTTCATGAGAAGTCACTTCCCATTCTTCCTGTACCCGGTCCCTGGCAACAACAAATCTTCCTTTTTCTATGGATTTGCCTATTCTAGACATTTTGCATAAATGGAATCAGAAAATACATGGCCTTTCGTGTGTGGCTTCTTAGCACAATGTTTTCATGGTTTATCTGTGTTGTAATACTGTATTCCATTTCATAGGTGTATAGTATTCCATTGTATGGCTATGCCGCATTTTATTTATCCATTAAACTCTTGATGAACATTTGGGATTTTCCCACTTTTCGGCTTTTATGAATAACAGTGCTATGAACATTCATGTACAAGTTTTTGTGTGAACATCTTTTTTGATTCTCTTGGGCATATACCTAGGAGTGAAATTGCTGGGTTGTGTAGTAACTCTGTATTTAACTTTTCCAGGAATTGCTAAACTACTTTTCAAAGCACTTTTCCCAAGTGACTGCATCATTTACATGCCCACCAGCAATGTTCAAGGGTTCCACTCTTTCACATTTTCACCAACCCTTATTCTTTTTCTTTCTTTCTTTCTTTCTTTCTTTCTCTCTCTCTCCCCCTCCCTCCCTCCCTCCCTCCCTTCCTTCCTTCCTTCCTTTCTTTCTTTTCTTTCTTTCTTTGCGCTCTCTCTCTCTCTCTCTTTCTTTCTTTCTTTCTTTCTCTCTCTCTCCCCCTCCCTCCCTCCCTCCCTCCCTTCCTTCCTTCCTTCCTTTCTTTCTTTTCTTTCTTTCTTTGCGCTCTCTCTCTCTCTCTCTTTCTTTCTTTCTTTCATTTGTTTAAATTATAGCTGTCCTTGTGGGTGTGAAGTAATATCTCATTTTGGTTTTGATTTGCATTCCCTAATGATTAATGATGTTGAGCATCTTATCATGTTCTTTGATTGACCATTTGTATATCTTCTTTGGAGAAAGGTCTATTTGGGTTCATTGCCCATTTTTAATTTGTCTTTTTTGGTGTTAAGTCGTAAGAGTTCTTTGTATACTCTAGAGACTAGACTCTTTTTAGATATATGGTTTGCAAATATTTTCTCCCATTCTGTGGGTTGCCTTTTCACTTAATATTCTTTTATGTTTGTCTTCTAAGAGTTTTATAATTTTAGCTTTCAAATTTAGGACTTTGAGCCATCTTGAGTTGTTTTTTTTTAATATGATTGTGAGGTAAGGGTCCAACTTATTCTCTGCCTGTAGATACCCAGTTCTTCCAGTACCATTTGTTGATAAGACTATTTTCTCCCATTGAATGGTCTTGGCATCCTTGTCAAAAATCAATGGATCGGAGATGTAGGAGTTGATTTTTGGACTCTCATTTTTAGTTCATTGATCTCCATGTCTAAAAGTACGTACTTTTTGATTCCATGTTTGTGGAATTCAAAACCAGGCAAAACTAATTTATGGAGTTAGAAGGCAGAATAATGGTTACTTCTGGAGTTGGGGCAAAGGGCCATAAGAGAACCTTATGGGAGCTGGAAATGCTCTATGCCTTGATCTAGGTGGTAGGTACTCAAGTATAAACATATATGAAAGATGATTGGGCTGTACCATTAAGATTCATGCAATTAATGCCCTTTATATATTTCTGTTATATACTGATAAGAAGGGAGGAAGAAAAAGAAAGAGAAAGAAAGAAGGAAAGAGGGAAAAGAAGGAATAAAGGAAGGAAGGGAAGGAAAGAGAAAAGGCAGCATGGTCAGAAAGTAGGGTGGAGATAATGGGTTTAAAGGGGACATGGCTTTGGTGACTAATGGCATGATGCCCTGGGGCAGAGAACTTAAGAGATGCGGCTCTGGGAAGAAAGGCTGTTTGGTTTGGGGGCTGTTGGTTGTGAGGTGGTGAGGTCCAGGAGGCAGGTGGATGCTAAGGGGAAGTAGTGGCCAGTGTGGCATGAAGAGCCAGAGCCTGTATGAGCCTGTACAGGGAGAGAGGTAGTGGGACAAGAAGAGGCCATGAACCAACCCTGAGCACTTAGAGCAGGAGGAGGATCAGGCAGAGATGCTAGTCAGCTGGCTGGGACGTGGGAACTGAGGACTGGAGAATTTGATGAGGGGGAAGTTTCAGGTGGAAAAATGCCAACAATGTGGGATCCAATGTGCCAGGCTTCAAGCTAAAGTCAGCATGTGCTCTTATTCATCTTATCCCTGTGAAGACCAGAGAGAAAACAGGTCTAGAGCTTGTCCAAGATCAGTGGCAGAGCTGGGAGTGGAACCAGATAGCCTGGCTCTGAACCTGCATTCTTAAGTGCTCCCCGATACTGCCACTCAAAGCAGTGAGATGTGGGAGGCTGGGACTGAGTTTAGGGTCACAACAAGGAGGTCCCTTTCCTTGTCTCTGGCTGTCTTGAGCTTCTTGTTCCCTCTGGGGAAGGTGGGGAGAGAGGTGTCCCCATCAGCCTTGAGCTCCCCAGCTCAGGACGTAAGCAGGGGTGGGAGGCTGGAGGATAAGGAAGGGGAGCATTTTGAAACAGCCCTCCCTCCGCCCAGGCCTCACTCCCTCTGCTCTCTAAGAGTTCTACTTTCCTGGAAATCAAGGACTCAGCTGCCGAGGAACTTGTCAGACCTGTTTGTGTCCCAAGGAACCAGGCCAGAGCCAAGCTGCAGAGAGTGGGTGCCACAGGCACCTGCTCGCCTGCCTGGCAGCTCCCAGCTGCCCTGCTCTATGAAAACTAGATCTGCCTGATTTGCAGTAACCTAGCTCCACGAGGACACAGGGGCAACCAGTGGGGAAGGTCAGAGGGGCTCTGTGTGGCTCCTTTGCTCATTTATTCCTCCATCTTTCAGACATGAATCTACTTACACCCGCTCTGCTCCAAGGCCTACCTCTGTACTCAAGAGGCTCTAGATAGAGGAGCCACAAGCATAGCTGTGACCTGGCTCCAATGGCCTAGGGAAAAGAAGGAGGGAGGGAGTGGCAGGATAGTTGTGACACTGCTGGTGGCTCCAAGGCCCTGGCTTCTGCCTTTCTTGGCATCTCTACAGCATTGCTTCCTCATGGCCCCTCTCCCCTCAGCTAGGGGTCATTGATGGCTTTGGTTACCATGACCTGGGCCCATCACCATCTGCCTTCAGTCTCCATGACTCTCCATCCGGTTCTTGAGGGATACCTGGATGGCCTCCACAAGACCATCAAATTGGCTTCTCCCAGGCCCTCCTCTGATCCAGGCAGCTGGGGTAGTCTGCAGAGCTGCCCCTTCCAGGGTTGGAGCTGAGGGTCCCAAAAGCCAGAGAGAAATTGGGAGGAGCATGCATGTTGATGGACACGTCATCTCTCCTGAGTCATATCTGGAAAGAACTTTTTAAAGGGACAAGAACTCCTGAGGCCTCCCTAACCTCCCCCTGTACCACTGTCCTCCTGGT